TACTAGCAGGTGGGCCCGGCGTTGCTCGGGCAAAAGTAACGATAACTAAGATAAAGATTATTACGTTACAGTCAACCTTACCCGTTTTCACAGAATGCAAGAATTGGGTCCCCTTGTTTCCAGACTAATTAGAGAACTTTTAGATGGTTCTAAAAATATGTTCGATTTCCTGCAAAAATGAAAGAACTGCATCTGCGCCTGTAAATCTTGCACGTTGCTTTCTCTTAACAATTCCATTGTTACGTAACACTTCCATTGTTACTTAACACTTCCATTGTTACCTAACATTTCCATTGTTACCTAACACCGCCATTGTTACTTAACACTTCCATTGTTGATGGAAGTGTTAAGCTTAATCCTGTCCCTCTCCCCCCAGGGGGCATTTCGAAAAATCCCTTCTTAGTGTGTGTTTTCGTGACGTACCCTAACTGTGTACCAAATTTCAGCTTCCAACTCCTAACCGTTTGGGCTCTGCTCTGATTATTATTATTATTATTATTATCAACTCGTCTCGATTATATATATAGATATGATGTAATCCTGGAGTTTGTTATCATAGGCATGAAAAACTCACCAGATTGAAAAAATCATCTCCATATCACCATTGGTTTAATATATGATGATAAATTGCCAGATGTATCAACATTGTCCCATTTTTCACTATTCACAAAATGGCTAAAAAATAAAATGCTCATGCCCATAAAAAGGCAACATCTATACTCAGATTTATCAAAACAATAGTAGATACACTCCATGTCATTTGAATAAAGCAAGAATATTAATTATTGTTCTCACTTCATCCACCCATTTTTGGATAAATGTCAGCTTTATTTGTTTGTGACTTGAATAAAATACACTTCAAATGGATAAAGTTGAAAATTAATAAACTGTTACTTGCTTTAATCAAAATACTTGGAGCATTAGCCAGCTAATCCTAGCTTTATTGATTTATAAACTTTAGCTGTAACATATATCAACATATATAAGGTGTTTCTCATAACAACCAACAAAATAAACCTGCAAAAACATTTAAATTGTTGATCATAGCACCCAGGCTATCTTAGGAAGACAAACATCAAGGTTGTAGCAACTTGCAGATGTACAAGTCATTATATTATGCTAGCTAACAAACATCTATGATATGATGTCTACCTCTTGCAGAAATCATGAGAGACCTCCATGACATTGTTTTCAATGATGTCAGGTTACTAAAAATGAGATCATGTGACAATAAAGAACAGTACATAACTGCATGTGTAAGGTAGCAATTTTCTGCAGTGGTATTTTGAGGGCCTGCGATTAGGAGAAAAAGATTTTTTTGGCTGATATTTTTACACAGTCAAATGGGTAGCATGTAACATGATATAACATGGAAAAACAGCTAAGTAAGTCAATATGGTAGAAAATTCCCATGAAAAGATTAGTAGGTTACCATTAGAAAAGATTAGTAGTTACCAGAAAACAGCCATTACATGTGATTGCAGGTTAAGAGGTTTCACAATAGTCAAACCTTGGGTTTCAAACTTAATTTGTTCCTGAAAGTTGTTTAAAAATTGATTTGTTCTCAAAACCAAAACAAATTTTTCCATAAGAATCAATATAAAATAGATTAAGCCTTTTCCAATCCCCAAAACAAAACTTTTTTAACTAATATAAATCATCACCACAAAACCTACAATAATAAAGCATTGGATTTCATGGTGATGTTTATATTTCTGTATATATGCCTTGCCAAGTACGTGATGGCCAGCTGAATACTTTATGTGGGAGTTTACAGGATGAGGGTGCTGAATGCATCCCCAGTTAGTACTATAATTACCAATGATGGCTATTTCATAATATTAAATATAATGAAAGAGAAGATCAGACCAGAGGTCCAGGTAGAATAATTGGCAACATATCCGCATGTCAAGAGGGAGTTGCAGGTTCATATCCTGCTCCAGGCTGATTCTTTTCTTCTAATTTAATCTAAAATTATTTAAATTTATTATGAGATGGTGCCTAATGCCTCCCTTTTTGATCAAATTTATCCATGATTTATAATTATTATAGCTGATATTTAGTCCAATGTCATATGGCAATGGTTGTTGTCCTTTTTTTTTAACCCTTTTAACTGTATTTCATGCATTAAAATGCTTATAAAGGCAATATAACAGATATAGATATAGATAAAGTAATATTTTATATATATTTAAATCAAAATGTTATGTCACTATCAATTGAAACTGAAACCAAAACTAACACTTTACAAAGAAGTGGTA